AATGTCTGACGACACCTCCAGGTGCGTTAGCATGTCGGCCACACAAGCGCCTTATTCATCGGCTAAGGCTTCACTCTGTTTGTTGAATGTTCTCAGGAAAGCAATATACCCTTTCTTTAGAAGCCAGGATTTATACACGTGTTGACTAACGGACTGGTATGTTGGACTTAGCAATTAACAGACCCGAAATAGCCCCAATTTTTTTTTTCATCTGGGTCGCTGTCCGTTGTTTACACTGTATACTGTACGACTCAGGGAGAGCACATCGAAGAATGCGGCTTTGCCTGAATATTCACGGTTTCCTGAAATCTCCCTATTTCAAACCACTTGGGGAGGAGGGGGAGAGATGGGCATTAGCAAGAAACACATGAGAAAATACATCCAAAAACACCAGCCCAATTATTAAATACGAATGGAATCTTCTCGTGAGAGGTTTATAGTTCTAGAAATGTCGCAATGTCACATTTCTCCTCTGTTGTGTCTGCAAGGAAACGGAAAGCCAACACGTTTTTATTGAGATACCGAGGCACCTCTTAGCGTGTTGGATGTAGCTCAGGAATCTCCTGAAAGAGGAAGCTTGTTTATTAAGGGAAGAACGATGTGTCTTTTGGTGCAGGCATAGCAAGAAAGGCGACCATCTTGGAATAAGTATCTAAAATTCACCCAGTCACATCTCCGACTGCATTCGAACCCGCTACGTCTGCAAAGGACTCTGGGTCAGCCATCAGCACTTTATGGTGGCAACAGTAGTGCCTTGATTTTTAAAAGCAAATATTTGTTACAAAACGCCTTTGATAAAAGAGGTCTGAGGAGCTTAACGGTGGTGACTTCTCTCCCCCACCTGGCCATCAACAGGCACATACTTACTGTATGACTACTGCACTCCGGGCCCGCGATTAGGTCCCCCGGGACTCCTAGTGCATTTGCAGACTTCTTCTGTGATAGAGAAACCTCATCCCGGCATATGCACGCGGGTCACACCTCCAGGTTAAAATTAGTCAAAGAGCTACCAGATGGCAAATGCGAGGCGACAAAGACAGGCAGGAAGGGAAGGAGCATCGCAATTCTACGGATCCAGTCTCACCTATGATGATCGATGATGATCGATTTCCCAGGTAACAGCAGTGGGTCCAGGGAAGCAGATCTGGATGCTGGGGAAGGTCAGAAGACTTCATATTTCATGTTCTTAGAAATGGTTAAGGGGATTAAAAAAAAGTATTCCCTAGGAGATAAGCACCTTAAGTATATGTAATTCAGTCAGATTAGAGAGAGCCTCAAAGACCACGTAAAACACTATCATCGTTTCTCTCCATTCCCTTATTTCTAACAAAGAGGAAGGAAAGGAAGGCACCAGGCTTTTCTCGCCTCAGGAAGTCGAGACTCAGCTGTGGCTTGTTTCGGAACATATATTGTGTGTGTGTGTGTGTGTGTGTGTGTGTGTGAGAGAGAGAGAGAGAGAGAGAGAGAGAGAAGCGTTGTCGTTTGTAAGCTGTCCTCTTAGACTTGTTAACTTCTCTGAAGAGGACTAGTAACAAAATTCCTTCCCCTTGCACACATTCACGTTCTATGTAGAGTGTTGTTTTTTTTTTTTAATTTATTTCTAGGAGAGAGAGAGACAGCATGAACAGGGGAGGGTTAGAGAGAGAGAGGGAGACACAGACTCTGAAATAGGCTCCAGGCTCTGAGCTGGCAGTCAGCACAGAGCCCGATGCAGAGCTCGAACCCACGAACCGCAAGATCATGACCTAAGCGAAAGTCGGCCGCTTAACCGACTAAGCCACCCAGGCGCCCCTCTATGCAGAGTTTTGACATGGTACCGATCTCATCAGCAGGAATATATTCCTCCAACTTCCTCGTAGGCATGCTACGTGAAGGCTTGAAATACAGTTTTGGACCAAATAGTCCTAAATTTAGCAGAACACGAGGTAAGCTAATTCAGGGTGCCCGGAGTTGCACTTAATTGGAATTATTGCAAAAAAAGAACTAAAGTTCACAGACTTGACATCGGCATTGTTAACATGCTTCAAGTATTTCCAGCCTGTTTACTTATTAGGCAATAAAGCCAACGCTCCCAGAAGTGTCTATTTTATCTTTATAAATATGTGTTTCCACACACACGAAAATGGCCCGAGTCACCTGTGGAAATCAGTTCTAAGAGGATGTGCCCCTTGAAATCCGTCCACGTGGGTGCACTCTTTGGGTTTAAATGTACAGGGGCAGGGAATGTACGCTGATGCCGGGCTTCTCATACCACAGGAAGGCAAAATAATAATAGTTCCTAAAACAAAAACACAAAGAGGTGGGACTCTCCATCGAGGCACCGTTAACTTGGGGTGACCTGTTGAATTTTCCCTCTGGTGTGGTTCATGCCCCTGTCCTGTAGGGGCGATAGCGTGGTGTGCAGCTGCGCGAACATGGCTCTATTTCCAACATACTCTGGTACCTTCCATGCTCATTGGTGAGCCGTGGATTATTTCATCAGTGGATGCCTAGAAAGCCTGAGCGAATCGTGTTCTAGAACTATGAAGGTAACCCGGGAAGAACTTGGCATTGGTAAAATGACAGGTTCTCATAGTATATGGTTTTGAAGTGAGAAAGGCGTGGCAGGTAAGCCCTCTCTGGTACCATGAACCATCGTGGTCTCCCTTCTCCCCAAACCCCGGGCTACTGAAATAGAACTCACTGTGTTTCCTGGTGTTTGTCTTATGTATGACGTTGACCCCTAGATGTTTAGCTCAAAGCTAGGACTCCGACACACCACGAGCTGGGGCTCCCATGGCGGGGGGAGACTCTGAAGGGACCTGACACATAGAAGTATTTGGAAGCCATTTCTGCTTTGAAACACATCAAGAGAGTGATATGAAGAAAAGGAGTGTGGCCTGGAGTTGTATTCTAAATAGAGACTTGGGTGAGGGAGGAGGAGGGATGGTCAAATGTGGTCCAGGAAGATAGTCTCTGAAGGGCTAGCCCAGCCACAACTACTCGCCGCGCAGGAAGCCGGTGCTGTCTAATCTTACGAATTCCAATTTCCTGCCAAATGGCATTTAGGAGCCACTGATAATTTAATTTCCTGGCATTACTGCTACTGGTGATTTATTTAGTTTCCCTGCTCAGCTCTTAACAAGAAAGTAAATCTTCGTCGGGTGCACCACTTCAGTGTGGAAAAGCTAACAAGACTAGGGTTTTAGGGGACAGGTGAAGGGCCAGCCAAGATGAATGGAGGGTGACTTCCAGCGTGCTGTGACTGTCACAGATGCTTTTGTCTGTTTGCACTGAGGCCGCTGGCAGTTTGAAAGCTACCTTCCGCACACCGTGCGCAGTTCAAGGAGCTAGACCTCGGTTTTGCTTTGTGTCTCCACTTGGCATTTCTAACGCAGTGTATGTAAGGGAGCGTCCTGATTGTCTTTGGGGCAGAAAGTGCCAGTAAGAACTGTTCTCCGGTCTCCATAAGCCTCTGAACTGTGGCACAACGGGCTCAGGCAACTGTCGGTGCCCAAGAACGCCTCGCCCTGGCAGCTGGTTCCCTGGAGGCCAGGGGCGTGTCCGAGGATTGCGCCTGCCTAGCGGGGGCCGGAGCTGGCCCCGGGCCCCGAACCCTGTGCCGCGCGGGCCCCGCCGGGCACCGGGCTTTGTTGGCTGCCTGGCTTCCGCACTGCACCCCGCTGTGAGTGAGAGTTCAGCAGCCTTCCAGAGGCGGGCTCCGAGACGCAGGGTGTGGTTTCCTTAGCTCACTCTCTGCTATTTGGTTGCCCATGGCAACAGGACCCAAACAACTTGGACATGTGTTTGTATAAAAAAACCTGGGCCCGCCGCGCACTGTGGGAGTCTGAGGCCGGTGGTGGTGGAAGAGCTGGAAGAGCGGTGGTGAGTAGCGGCAGCCGCCGCCCGTCTCCCCTCGCTCCGTGTCCGCGTCACCCTGGGGCATTTGCGAGCCCAGTAACCGCGTTTGTGGGGAGCCGGAGAGCCGCGTCTCCGTCCCGGTGTTTCTTTCCTGTGAGATTACATAACTGCTGTCTGCTTACCCCGCGTAAGCAGGGCGGCGGGGGGGGGGGGGGGGGGGGGGGGGGATCGGCATATGCGTAAAGACGTTGGGGGCTCATAGAAAGTCCCATCTGGTACCTTTCTGGTGTCGGGACGAACTGAGTGCCCCAGCAACGCTGGCAAGTGCAGCCACAAGCCTGGGGGTGTGTGGGGGGACTTGGGGACTGGGGCGGCTGTTCCTGTGAAGGCATTGGAAGGGGTTCTTCGCATGCAGAGATCGGCTTACCACTTTTTTTGTTAAAGCCTGCCCCCCACCGTAGATCATATTGTAAAGTTGCAGTTTTTAAAACAGATGTCCTGGGTAGCATCGCTTCGTTGCCTATTGATCCTGACTCACGTGAACAAAGTGGGGACTGGATTTGGGCACGTCCTGTACCAAGTGTTGACGGTTGTAGGCGTTGCGGGTCCTGCCGGCGAAGGCCATTGTTAGAAGTGCACTCTGGGGTGGTGGCTCGAGCCCTGAGTCAGTGAACGGTGCTGGACACAACTGTTCAGGATCCCTTTGGGGATTTAAAAGTGTTCTGGCGGATCTAAAGGATCAGACGCATGCGCCTTGTACACTCATAACGACCGCTCACGGGTACACTGAGCCATGATCCGATGAGCCGAGTTTTGCAGATGGGAGGGAGCGAGGCCCCCTGAGGAAGAGCTGGGGGCTGGCAGCAGAGGGCCCGGCTCGCCATGGGCACCCCTGCCAAGCAGCCTGCCTCCAGGATGCGGCTTGCATCCTCTCCTGTGAAATACCCTCTGTCGTGCTCGTGCTCGGAGCCACCGCGCCTTCCCGGAGGCCACCCCCTCCCCATCTGGCCTGCGCGTCCTGCTGGCAGGGCTCTCGCGAGTCCCTGGGGACCCATCTCTTCCCGGGTCCCAGTGAAGTGTGTGCAGTCACGGCGCCAGAACCCAGCGTCCGGGCCCTCCTCCCTCCTGGGGCTCATTTGCCCGGCCCATTGCCCCCACAGGTCCCTCTAGCTACAAGGTGGGCACCATGACTGAGAAGTTCGACTGCCACTACTGCAGGGACAACCTGCAGGGGAAGAAGTACGTGCAGAAGGACGGCCACCACTGCTGCCTCAAGTGCTTCGACAAGTTCTGCGCCAACACCTGCGTGGATTGCCGGAAGCCCATCGGCGCCGACTCCAAGGTAACGGCGGCCCCGGCATGTGGGGGCCGGGAGGGGCCCCAGCTGTCCGGTGCGGGACTTGCTCGTGTTTCACGAACTCCTGGCCGTCCCTCGTGTCTGTCGCAGTCTCGGCGGGGGGTGGGGCACTGCCCCGACCCCTCCCCCCAGCCCCCGGCCCCCAGCAGTACTCACGGCAGCCCACCCCCTCTGCTTGCTCCCCAGGAGGTGCACTATAAGAACCGCTACTGGCATGACACCTGCTTCCGCTGTGCCAAGTGCCTTCACCCCTTGGCCAACGAGACCTTTGTGGCCAAGGACAACAAGATCTTCTGCAACAAGTGCACCACTCGGGAGGACAACCCCAAGTGCAAGGGGTGCTTCAAGCCAATCGTGGCAGGTAGTGCCCCCTCTCCCTCCCCGGCAGCCAGGGAGGAGGCCCCCGGTGGGGGGGGCGGAGATGATGCGGGCGGGCGCTCGCGGTGCTGGGGTGATGCTGCCGCGAGCCGCGCTGAGATGTTAGCGTATATATGCACGCATATATATACACATATATCTGCGTACACATATATGCTCGCACACACGCACACACGGCAACTAAAGAACACTGGAGAGAGCGGTCTGTGGCAGGAGAAAGAAGTGAAAAGTATGTAGCGCTTTCTCATTTGGGTAGAGTAAGTGATCAAAGCATGCGACCTCTTTGGTGGAATTATGGGCCAGCTGCCCCCTTCCCCCTTCCCCCCCCAGCAAGTCTCCAGGTCCAGTCCACCAAGGCCCCCCCATCCTGAAACACTACTGCCGGGGTCCCCTTCGGGGTCTGCACCACCCCTGCAGGACAGAGGGGAGAAGCCCCCCACACCCCGTGGGTAGCATAGCTGGGAGCGCGAGGCCGGAACTGCAGGGCCTGCATTCCCTCCCCTGTGGGGGGGGCCCCCCCGGGGCGGGCTGAGCGGATGCAGCCCCCTGCAGGGCACCGGCAGTGGGGCTACCGATGGCTTCCCCCGCAGGAGATCAGAATGTGGAGTACAAGAAGACTGTGTGGCACAAAGACTGCTTCACCTGCAGCAACTGCAAGCAAGTCATCGGGACTGGAAGCTTCTTCCCCAAAGGGGAGGACTTCTACTGCGTGACCTGCCACGAGACCAAATTTGCCAAGCACTGCGTGAAGTGCAACAAGGTACGCTGACGAGGGAGTTCCGCGTTGACTTGTTTCTAGAAGTGTTTGACCATTTGCAGAGCCCTTGCACACACGCTATCCCATTCCATCCTCACGACAGCCCTGCGACGTAGGAATTATTATTCTCGTGCTGCAGGCGAGGAGACCGTGGCCGTGGAAGGTGGCGCCCGGGCCCCAGTCGGGCGCGGTCCGTGGGCGCACCTAGGAGGCCGGCAGCCCGGGCCCTAGAGGCCCGCCTCCGCCCCCTGGTGGCTGTCTAACCCCCACGCAGGGGCCCGCCTCCTCGGAGCCTCGGTGTCCTTGTCTGTAACTCGGGGATAATAATCGCACCTGCCTCCCATGGCCGTTGTGGCGATTAAATGAGATATTGTCTACCAGAGCGCCCAGCACAGTGCCTGGCACGTAGTAGGCATTCAACAAGACAGTTGTTGAATCTGAATCCGGTGCTACACTCCCTGGTCTAGGCCATCACCTCTGGAGGAATCACTTACCAGGATCAGCCCTGGCATGCCGAGTGCTTTGTGTGTGTTACCTGCTCTAAGAAGCTGGCTGGGCAGCGTTTCACCGCTGTGGAGGACCAGTATTACTGCGTGGATTGCTACAAGAACTTTGTGGCCAAGAAGTGTGCTGGATGCAAGAACCCCATCACTGGTAGGCTAAAGAGTCCTTGCTAAGTCTGCCAGGCTAGGTCTTGCGCATGGTAACCATCTCTCATTTTCCTCCGCCGTCGGTTTCATCCACAAACGCCCCAGAGAATGTCTCTCTCCCCTGCCATTGTGGTCCCGAAGGCTCCCCCCTCCCCGCCCCCCCGATTAGTTTGGATTCTCCCCCAGGCCAGCTTAGCCTTTGCAATACAGAAACACCTCCTGACTACTGCTGACTAACGACGCTGCCGGAGTTCACGAGCCTGAGACCCACGGCCACGGCCACGGGCAGGCAGGCACCGCGTGTGGCGGGGGTGGGCGGGGGTGGGGGGTTGTCTGGTGGGAAAGGGAGAGGAACAGCGGGAGGAGGGGGAAGGGAGGGGAGGCTGGCGAGCGGCAGGCGGGGGTTAGAGCGCCCCTAGCGGCAGGCTAGCTCAGAGGCGGCTGCGGGCAGCTGTGTTGCGAGCAGAAGCAGAGCGAATCACTTCATTCCTCCTCGCGCGGCCGCGATCCACGTGCCCTGGGCCCTTTCCCCGCCTCCACTTTTCCCGTCTCCCCGGGGAGCCTTGAAATGTACATTTGAGAAGACTTTTGCCATCCTCAGGGAAAAGGACTGTGTCAAGAGTGAGCCACCCAGTCTCTAAAGCTAGGAAGCCCCCAGTGTGCCGCGGGAAACGCTTGCCTCTCACCCTGTTTCCCAGCGCCAACCTCCGGGGCAGGCATCCGGGTGGAGAGAGGACTTGTCCCTCGTGGGTGGTGGTTCTTTATAGAAAAAATCGAAGCTTAGCAGCTCCTCGAGGCCCGGTAAGTGCACACCCCGCGAACGGCCCAAGTTTGCCTCCTGGTGGCCACTTTGATGCCATGGCCCTGACCTAAATCAAAGACACTGGTTGTGCTGGGAGGTCGGTGCGCGTCACAGGGCGATAGCGGTGGCATGGGAATGCGGGTTCGTGGCTGAGCTCTGGCATCTCCTCAGGTTCCCTCCCCCCCCCCCGCCGCGAGCCGCAGCAGGGTGGCGGCGCCACAGGGGACGGTGCGCGGAGGAGGGCGGCTGGGGGGGGCCGGGCAGACGCTGCCCCTGCGTGCGTGTCGGCCTCGCGGACGGGCAAGGCGGCGGTCCGCCTCCCACCCGCGCCCACTCAGCAGCCGCCTCCGTTTTCTCTTGTCGTTTCCACAGGGTTTGGTAAAGGCTCCAGTGTGGTGGCCTATGAAGGACAATCCTGGCACGACTACTGCTTCCACTGCAAAAAATGCTCCATGAATCTGGCCAACAAGCGCTTTGTTTTCCACGAGGAGCAAGTGTATTGCCCCGACTGTGCCAAAAAGCTGTAAAGCGACAGGGGCTCCTGTCCCGTAAATGGAACCGAGTCTTGTTCTTGTGTCCTCGCCCTCTGCCCTGCACCACCCATAGGGCCAGGGTGGCCTCTCACCTCTCAAGTTGCTTCTTCTGTCTTTGCTCCCATTTTACAGTATCGCTCAGATAAGGGCACACAGAGATCATTCTAGGATGTAGCAGCGCAGTCCCCGTCTCCGCGGCTGCGGTGACAACACGAACACGTAGATAGGTTGACTCTCCTGCATGTGTATCATAGAGCGAAAACGTGCTAACCATTTAGCTGCTTAGTGACTTAAGCAAGAAGCATGACACACAAGCCCCCCCGCCCCCCTGAGCCGCGTCTCGCGGCTCAGCCGGGACCCACCGTGTCCTCCGGACACGCGAGAGTTGCAGCGGCTGCTCCAACTCGGCTGCTCACCTGTTCCGTGAGCAGGAAGCGAACTGAACAAAATGCATGGTTGAACTTCCTCCTCGAGCTCTTCCTCCCGTTCTTTTGTGCTCTCAAACGACTAACACGAAATTGCCAGAAAGTTAACATTTGAACTTTGCTGTAATTCTAAACTGGCCTTTCTCCCCCACCGCCCCCCGTACTAACCTTCGGTTTCCCCGTGTGGCGTGTTTTCTGAACGTTCCTGCTTTCGAGCGTGGACCGTGCAGGTGATTTGGGAAAGTGTAGGCAGACCGGAGAAAACGAGCCTGTTTCACAGGAACATCGTCACGGTGAACACTTCTGGAAGCTTAACGAAACTAACCCAGCTGTCCCTTTTTGTTTTTCTTTTTTAATACTCTTCTGTTTTAATTGATAGTAACATAGTTTATGGGTTTGGAGACGTGCATGTCGGTATTTCAGCCCCTCAGACGTTCCTGCAGGTTTGCAATTTGTCCCACCGAGGTAGCCATCACACTCTAGAGCAGGCGCCAGGCGGTCTGCGGCATGGATAGGACATTTCCCAGCAGCGACCCGAGCGGGGTCCCTTGTAACGTAGCCGTCGTCTGCTCCTTGTCTGTGCGGCAAAGAGGCACGCCAAGTCCCTTCTCTCGTGATTCTTAGGACTCTCCCTCGAGAGCTCAGCTGGACCTCGGGGGGAGTGGCTGCCACCCTCACAGACACAGCCGGACCTCCACGCACGCAGTGCTTACCTGAGACGCAGGCTCACCTAACTTACTGCATTCTTCTCGACATTGTTATATTACATAGTATGAGACAGTATCAGAAGTAAACACGTAATGACAGTGCATATTAACATTCTTGTAGGAGTGGTTAGACAAGCCGACGCCTCATTTCTACATTTTGTCATTAGCTATTATCTTCAAGTTCCAGTGTATCCTTACAGAAATAAAGCAGCAATATAAATAACTCGTCTCGTCTTTTGATTCTGCCGGTGGAGTTGCCCTGAGGGGACACCATTGCTCCCAGACCCCCAGTGACCGCTTTCCTTCAAGCACATGCTCTGTTCAGAGCAGTCACGCAGAACAGAGGAATTACAAGCAAGCTGAAGCCTGTAGCAGCACTTGCATCCAGGTAAAAACAGCCACCCTCCCCCCGCAGTCTGACCCAAAAGAAGCATCTCCCAGATGGTCACATCCCTTAAGAAGGGCACTGGTTTTCTTGGGCCGGGGACAGGTGGGGTGGGAAGAGAATGACAGCTGAAGGGTGTTGGGCTCTTCACAGCCCCCATTTTGTGGGCTGCCCTCTCTGTGTGCCCTTGGGCCGGCGGGAGAAACCCGCTCCCCCTTGGGGCCATGGCCCAGCCAGCGAGGAGCGGGGGACAGTCTGATGAGTGTCAGAGCCACAGCAATAAAAGCAAAGGGCGGGACCCCCTTCGGAGCTACTCGGACCCGGTTAGCAGGAAATCCAAACCCATCAGCGAGAAACCACAGGTGTTTTTATGAACAGGTGACAGTCCCTTGTGTCTGTTCCCCTAGAGAAACCAGCAGTTAAAGCCACGAAAAGCGTCGGTCTGGTGGTATGGGGTCCCAAGGGAGCAGGGCTCGGGTGGGGAATTGACATGCCACCCCTCTGCTTCCCAAGGGAAGCGGGCTAGGTTACTGAAATTGTGGCGAGGGACAGGGCCCGGAGGGGACAAACCTGGGATGGAGGGGGGACTTCACTCAGGACTCCTCTTCGGGGCGAGACCACAGCACACCTCCAGTGCCCTCCACGCCAGTGCACTGTGGGCCTTTGGGCACAGTGGCTGCTTTCCCCACACGCTCCTTCTGGACGGGCCCTCCTCTGCCCATGCCACCCCCGATTCTATGCTTGCCCTCATTCCTGTCACCCTTTGGCCTTCCCATCTGACCCGGCCTGTGAAACCCTAGCCCGCACCAGGGCCGAGTTGTGCTGTATAAAAAAAAAAAAAAAGCGCCTCACCACTAACTCCAGCAGCCACCCTGGCTAACTTGGCCTTGCCTTCCCTGGGCCAGCACGCCCCACCCCCCACCCCCATACCTAATCCTCACAGCCAACACTGGCTCTACCGTCCCCATTTTCCAGATGAGAGCTTTTCAGAGAAGTTAAGAGGTCTACCTAAGGTCACACAGCTAATGAGTGACAAACCTCCAGCCTGTCTCTTACGACCAGACATTGCCATAGAAATGATGAGGGCCCCAGGGTAGGAGTAGGGTCTGATGCGTTACAGTGAGGTGACTGTCAGGTGTCTGCTCAGTATTTCATTTGAAGAGTGACGCAGGAAGCCTCAGGAGGAAGGAGGGGAGATGCCTAGTTGGTGACTTTTAATCAAAGGACACTTTCCTTGCTCATAATCAGGGGGATCAGCATATGCAGAATGCACCTGCTCGTGGTTAACAGGGTTGGTTCTGGAACAGACTGCCTGGGTTCAAATCCCAGCTGCTCTGCCATTTGCTGTGCCACTGAGCCCACAGGCGAGGCTGCCTAACCTCTCTGAGCTTGTTTCCTCACCTGTAAAATGACACAATAGTCCTACCTCCCAGAATCACATGCACATTACATGGTAATAATACAAATGTTTAATAGGGCGACGGACACCTGGTCAAAGCACTCAGTAACTGTTAGCAGTTATTTTTCTCTCCAGCACCAAAGAGCAGATGACCATACAAGCCACAAGACCCTCCCTCTCGCAGAGCAGGCTGGGGTGTTGGCTCTACAATCAGCCTTGAATTTGAGCATCAGCCCTGCGTCTTCCTAGTTGTACGATGTTAAACGACTACCCGTGTCCGCAAATGTGTCCTCCTAGAGAAAAGTGAATACCCACCTTCGCAGGGTTTTTAAAAGACGCCTGATAAAGTACCTGGCGATAGGGCACGTGTGAACATAACCAGTTATTACCAGACTTGGGGAACCCCTGGATGTACCCAACCAGGAACCCTGAAACAGGATGGCCAGGGAGGGAGACCAACAGTGGCCTCTCCAGGGCCTGCTTCAGTGAGCCAGGCCCGCAGGGCCCGGGGGCGCCGAGGTGGCCTCAGGGAGGACCCCTGACGGACCGTGGCGGCCAGCCTGCCTCCAGGCTTTTGCTTCCCGGCACTGGCTCCTGCTGCTGCTTCCGCCTCGCCTCCTGATTCTCAGGCTCTTGCCCCAGGGAGTGATCCCACGGGACGAAAAGGGCAGCAGTCCCATGAACATGCACGCAAAGTCACATGGCAAGCTCACGGCCATCTCACCTGAGACTCAGGGCGTCAAGCCCGTCTGCCATCCTCCGCAGCACCCCACACTGCACCCCTGCGGCTGCCAGGGGCCAGGGCCGCTCCAAGGCTGCACGCCTGTGCAAGAAGACACAGGGGTGTGAGACGTGCTCATACGCAGGACCCAGTGGCAGAAGCTGGGGACCCATCCGTCAGGGGCAGGGACACCAAGTGATTACCCAGAGAGGAAAGGAAACTGGAGGCAACCGTGTCCCATAAGAGGCTCGGGTACCAGCCCAGGGCAAGAGGGTGAGGCTACGCTAGCGGCCCCCGTCTTGGAGCTGTAGCCAGGGAGCTTTGACCGCGTTTCGGGTTGTGTGCACACCACCTAACCACCCGGTCAACAGCCCCAGTGGATGTCCACCACCAGGGAACGGTGAGTGGGGGGTGGCCGCCACCCGTCTCGGGAGCACCAGAACCTCGCCCCACAGAAACACAACCTAGCAGAACAGCACGTGGTTCAAGACTGGATGGAAACCATAAACACTTCCAGGCCGATGAGAACATCCGCTGGAGCCGTGCACGGGGATGGCGAGGTCCGAGCGGAGGTGCACACAAGGGCCGTCACCGCCCGAGCGCGCAGCAGGCTGAAAAGTGCTAACTGCGCTCCTCACAGCAGGCACCAAAGCGATGCCCCTGAAGGGGCTGAGGGTGGGGGCAGCACGTGCTTCAAGACACAGGTTTGAGGGCTAGATGGACATTCTAGAACCAGGTACAGGTGGTGGTTGTGCCACACCATGAATGCACTAAATGCCGCCTCACTGGGACGTGTCATGAGTGTCACCACAGTAAACAGGTGGCCGATAACCCCCAGGCTCAGGCCGAAGTCTGAGCCACCCTCAGCGAGAGTAACGAGCACCAGAAAGGGTGCAGAATTTGAAAATTCACATCTAATGTCCCAGGAGTGGAGCTCTGCCAAGTCACCAGGTAGCTGAAAGGGGGCATCAGAGGACCTGCTTACCTTTTATTGAGCAGCCGTGTGCCCGTATTCAAAGCAAGGTTGGCATTTGGGGTCACCTTTACACCACGCAGCAGGACGTGTTTTGTTATTGTAATGAAAAGAAAACTTGCTTTATTCGCAAAGTTTATTTCCCCGAGCACACACCTGAACGAGAGAGTAACAGTGTTCCCACGCGTGACACCTGTGCAGAAAAACCCCAGAAACCCATTTGTTAGGATGACCGTCTCTGCATTCTTTATGAAAGAGCTAGTGTACAGTTTGCAAATCTAAGGCACCGAGCTCCGATCTGGAACACTGGTACAGTACACTGAACGGCAAAGAACTAAGGAACCAGAAAGAGTAATTCTTTCCTTTTACTAATCCAAGACTAGTGGCTACAAAGGAACATGGCCTGCTTGAAACTTTGTGATTCACCACAAAACTCATCAGCAGTAGGACAACTACTGTGCATTCAAGTTTTAGCTGATGGTTTAAGCACACAGGAAGGCGTCCATCCCTCTGTGTGCGTGTGTGCACGTACATGCAAACGTGTGTGAGCATGTGTACGCATGTGCTTATCTATCAGGGCGACCAAAGAACGGCACTGCTCTTGTACTCACTTATGGCCAGAAGCTGGGAAAGGACAAGCAAGTCTGGCTCCACGTGCCAGGGCTGAGTGCAGCCCGGAGGCAGGGCAGGAGGGCATGAGGAGACGACGACGGGGTGCCATGGTCAACTGGGGGGAGGACACGTGTCCCACTGCACACCAGCCACACGGTGCTGCAGGCACGATCCAAACAGTTTTTGGAAATACATGCCACCGTGCATGTCAAGAGGTAACACTGATGAGCACGAAAAGTGCTAAACTGTCCCCAGGTGACACTTGCTAGGACCCCTGGCATCCGGGGACACTGGGGCCTCTGTATTCAGGTGACAGTGAGTTCAAGGCATACGTAGCAGTAACATGGGACTTATCACTACATTCTGCAACCTCCCATTTATTAGAAACCATCTAAGCAAAGCTCTCATGAGCAATCCTGAGGTCCTCGCACCCCCCATTAAGTCCTCTATGAGACTGAATGTCAGCTTTGAATTGTTAAAGTAATGGAACTGTTAAACAGAATAAACATAAAATATTTTGAGAGAGAAAATTACTCCTTGGTTTAGAAACTCAAGAGTTACCATCTCATAAAGGTGCCTGGGGTATGCACTCACACACACACCGGCTGGAAAACAAGAACAAGACAGTGGAGGTTTCTAGAGACAAAAACAAGCCTTTACTCAGAACCTTTGGTGTGGGCAAGAACCAAGATGGTATGTGCATCTTCTGAGACGTGTGTTAAGGTGACTGACATTTCTCTCTTTCTTTGATGGTCATTTTCTTGGCCAGGTTCAAGTCAGAGGCAGAAAAATTTGGGGAAATGGGGCTAGTGATTGAAATCCAGAGTGGGGGATGACTCTTCCTCTGGGCTGCACGAGGTTTACGTATCTGACCAGAGGGAAAAAGAAAAGAAAGATGAGTAGAGAGGACGCTGCCCTCGCAGCCACTGAGCCTCAGCCTCCCTTCGGGGTGGGCGCCGGGACCCTTGCCAACTGGCTCTCCAACCCAAGCTGCTGACACGCTGGTGCCCTTATAATAAATGTTCCCCATGACCCCAACCCACAAATAGGCCCAACCTGCCTCTTGGTTTCAGAGACAGCTTCTTAAGAAAAGCAAAGGTCTTTTGGTTTTGGAAATTCAAGGTGAGAGAGAGACTAATTCCAAAGGCCTCACTAACCCTCTGCCCTAAATGATTATACCTGGATGCTGTAAAGCAGCTCATGGCTTGGGGGCTGAAAAGAACCTATTTGATACATCTGATAGGAAATTCAGGGCATAAAAACTAAAATCAAGTTATTTACCCTCTCAAAGCCAACTTTTAAAGTTTTTTTTAAGTGTATTTATTTATTTTGAGAGAGAAAAAGTACAAGTGGGGGAGGGGCAGAGAGAAAGAGAAGCAGAGGGAGAGAGGATCCCAAGCAGGCTCTACACTATCAGTGCAGAACTGGACACGGGGCTTGAACCCACAAATCGGGAGATCATGACCTGAATCGAAGTCTGACGCTTAACCAACTAAGCCACCCAGGTGCCCCAGCTCTCAAAACCAACTTAATGGAAGACTCTTTGAGGTCAACCTGGTGTTTGGATCCACCACGGTCTCCCCTCTCACCTCCGAAGTTACAGGGTGCCAAGAAGGCCCTGGAAAAGCCAGAAGCAGGAGGATTCATGGCCAACTGCCTTTCAAACCATGTGAAGACAGGATGAGGCCTTACCCAATAGAGGAGGTGCACATCTGTTTTCCTTGTCATCTAAAGGCATCTGGGGACTGTGATGGAAACTTTTGGGTGGTATTTTCAGCTATCAGGAGGGATACTGAACATGAGTGACTCTGCCTCATTTCTAATGTCAACAAACTTGTCACAGACCCACTCCTGTGCCCCTGGCTATGAACTCTTGTTAGGTCCCGCCGTGTTGCTGGTTTCACTTGCCTTTCTGGTTTTTGCTGCTCAGCTGCTTATTCTTTTGCTGGACGATCTGGAAAGAGACGTTTGGGTTAGAATCCTGACTGTCCCAGAACCAAGGCTTTGTCCTGAAAGAAGCTTTATCCTTTAATTAACTTCTAAGAAATGCCTTGGAAGTAACGTAACCTTCAGAACCCGGGAGCGGGAAGGCTGGACGGTGCCCTGGAGATCAAGGAGACACGATGGTTTCCAAACTGTGTCCCACAAAGTCCTAGGGCTCAACGAACACTACGCAGGGCTAAGAGCAGCTGAGCCCGCAGGGACCCAGCAGCCCCTGTCCCCACTTCACCATAGCCTGGGACACAACCAAGGTGGCGGAGCAAGGACAGACGTGGCTTTCCCAGCTCCAGGGCTTGTGCCGGCCCATGACCGCGCCTCTCAGCCTGTCGTGTTCCCACGGGCCCTGGAGGTTCGTGTCTCTTTAGGCAATTCCCCACAGAGCCTTCCCTTCCAAGAATCGATTCCCACTCTTCCAACCAAACTTCTGACCCTCAGTTTCCCCATATGTAAAATGACATCAATACTGAACTCAGAGTTGTAATGAGAAATAGGCAACATAAGACGCCTGGTACGCCGCAGTCACTCAGTGCCCGCCCTTCCCTGATTTTATGAGAAAATGCTAACCAGTGTGCACAGAAGCACAGCTTAGAGCCAGATATATCTGGTTTGAATGTGGGCTCTGCCCTTAAAAGGTGGGATGTTGGGCAAATAAGACCTGTAATCTCTCCGTGCCTCAGTTTCCTCGTCTGTAAAAGTGAAGATGATAACCCTTACCTAGCAAGGTTGCTGTGGGGATTACTTTGTTTCTGGAAGTCCCTGACACAGTGCTCGGTGCAAACTAAGAGCTCAGGCACTAATCTCGTGTAGGACGCCCACCAAGTTTATTCTGATAGGCTCACTGAGTGACTCACCTGGTACCCTTCGCCTGAGTCAAAGGGTCTTTTGCACTTTTTTGTCTGAAGGTTTTCATGTCGCCATTAAAAAATGTTTTTGTCTCTCTATGGACTTGGCCAGAAGTGGCATCTAAAAACACCAGCTTGGGAGTGTTCTTCTTCGTGTTTTTAAAATGTGTTTTGAATATTGTGGATGAATCCATGCCATTTATAAAGGCTTGGAAAAAGAAAGGAAGAAGATTAAAACTGGAGGTGCAACAACACAGACAACAAGAGGCAAAGGCTGTGATCCTGCTGGGCCAGAGTGTGGCTGGCTGTGTGGAGGCCGGAGGAGGAGCTACACAGCACTTGTCTGGGGTGTAAGCTGTACCTGGGGCCTGCACCTGCTCTGGCCTCAAAGAACAAGGGGGCCACCTCTCAGGACCTTGCCTCTTTCCTCTGCTGGGTGAGACCGGCCAGCGGGCAGCTGGCTTCTTACCTCTCCTCCTGACTGCCGACCTAGCCAATCCCGCCTTTTCTTTTAGTCTCGATTCTGGCGCTACCTCTACCTTCAGCTTTTCTCGGCGCCCTAGGTGGACCCTACACGTGGCCCTGCTCGTTCTTCTCACCGTATTCAGGCCGGCCAGCTTGCGGCAGGGTCACCGTCCGCTCCTAGGTCTGTCTCCCCAAAGGCTCTCCTGGGGCCATGTCTCCTCCTGTCTGTATCCCTGGTACCCAGAACGCCTGCATGCTCACAGCCACTTGTGAGGTAAAACGTGGACGACAGTGTTTTCTCAAGTTCCTAGCACTGCTGCCATAACGTGGTTCCTACTCAGAAGGGAATCGGCCGTCCATTTCGGGGAACACTCAGATCGGGACAGGAATCATATTTCTCTCAGGGAGGTGGAAAGTGACATTCCACCTGCCATCGGGCACGGATGCCGCGCAAGGCCCTGAGCTGTGAAACGCTCACAGTTCTCACGTTCAGTTAAGAGCTCCCACCTACGGTGTAACGGCACAGCCAGCAAAGGCAGCACGGTCGCTGCGGGCACGGCCTTCAGCGAGAGTTCCCTGTGTGTCCGAGGCACCGCGCGCCTTACCCCACTGCGGTCTCGGGCGACACCAGGACAACAGTAGCTTCCCCTTTTTCAGGTAGGAAAACTGAGTACAGAGAGGTTCAGTACGTTGCCCGAAGCCACACAGCTCAGCAGCAGAGAAGCCCCTGGGCTGAACCCAGGCAGTTTGACTCCTAAGTGCTGATGACTAGAACGCAAAAGCGGCCAGCAAACCTGATGGCTGCAGGTCGTCGAAGGCATCGCTCTCGCTTTCAGACTCGTCTTCGTCATCTGCCTCGTCCTCGTCGTACATGCGGTCGCTGAGCGCTTCTGCAGCCTGCGGGGAGGGAAGACGTCACAGCCACATCTACTCCTCTCTTATCCTGACTTGGTTATTTCAAAGAAAATAGGTTTCATGCTGGACTGACTGCTGCTGAATTTCAATTAAAAGATAAAAAGTCTAAACTCTTTGGCTCCAAAGACTACAGGGGGCAGAACAGGTGGCCCCAGCTGTGTCTTTCAGTTAGGGAAAGACACTCCAGAATGAAAGCGTCCCCGGAGTGGGAGCCGAGGAACGACACTTCGGGCTGGCACGTGGCCTCTGTGGGCTCAAAGTCCTAACGAAGCCAAGGGAGAGACGCCTGATAAGTGGCTTTAAAAAGTTCTTGGGGCGCCTGGGTGGCTTAGTCGGTTAAGCGTCCGACTTTCGCTTAGGTCATGATCTCGCGGTTCGTGGGTTCGAGCCCCGCGTCGGGCTCTGTGCTGGCTGCCAGCTCGGAGCCTGGAGCCTGTTTCAGTCTGTGACTCCCTCTCTCTCTGACCCTCCCCTGCTCACGCTGTCTCTCTCTCTCTCTCCTAGAAAAAAAAAAAAAAAGTTAAAAAATAAAATTTAAAAAGTTCTTGGCTGCTGTCAGAGCCAGTGGGCTAAATGACCTTTCAGCTGGTGACTCCCCGTACTTTCCAGAAATGACATTTCTATTCTGAAAGTTCAGGATATGAGTGACCACGCTGGGGGACTGTACCCAGCCACGGGATGCCTCACAAGACAGGACGCTGGGGTACGGAGACAGACCCCAAAAAGCACTTCCCATAAATGGGAAAAAAATGCTGAATCTGAGGTAAAATGAACTTCTGTTCACCAAAAGGCAATCTGAGAGTATGAGGCCAACTACAGCAATGCCTACACATGACAGGGCTCATAACCAGAGCAGGTAAAAACTCCCACACATCAGCAAGAAAGAGGCCAGCTGCCAAACAGAAACATGGGCGAGGGACTTGATAAGGCACTTCACCAAAGCAGATCTTCAAATGGCCAAAAAGCAGATGAAAAGTCACTGGACTCCATTAATCATCAAAAAATATTAATAGATTCGACAGTGTGCAAATTAAGAACTTCTATCCAGGAGAAGAGAGCATTAAGACAAGCCATAAATAAATAAGCCAGGAGAAGGAAGATATATGCAGTCCACAGAAGCAAGAAAGTAGTGGCATCCACAACATTTTAAGAACTACAAGCAGGTGAGAAAAAGACAAATCGACCCAAAAGTTTTGGGCAAAGACCTGAATAAGCATCTCACACAAGAAAAAACATGACAGCTAACTAAAGACAGGAGAACATGCTCAACCTCTTTAATATTTAATCAGAGACATGCGAGTGTGATGCTTTAATTACCACCAGACTGGCAAGAACGAGAAAGTCGGCAAGAAGGTGAAGCAACAGGAATTCTTAGGCATCGCTGGCAGGAATGCATAGACTACCTGTGAGGTATTTGAATATGTCTTTCTCGTCCGCTTCATAATTTCCTCAATTCTCTATTTAAAGGAAAATAAAAATTCAAACACGAAAACAGATTAAAAACAAAACAATGGTCCTAAGGAAGTTGCCTGCTTTGTTTCCCACAAGTGGATGGTATCGATGGCTGTTCCCAAGCCACAGACTCAGCAGACGGGAGACCCCTACGGCGGCCGCCAGAACCCTTCTTCCAATCCTGGTTTCAGTCAGCCCAGAAGACGTTGTGAGTTGTAGTAGCTGCACTAGCTATCCTAACACACAGATCCAATGGCTTCTCACTCCAAAATTTGTAGACTCAGACATCCATTACTTAAACTACGCATGTATTACTGCAAACCAGTGAGGATTTTTTAATGCACTTTAGTCTGAAGAGACCACGACTGAAGCAGGTATTAACGAAAAGACTGCACCCCACTGATGTGACACTACCCAAAGTTTCTTGCTGGAAAGAGCACACAGACAGGAGGGAAATTTCCCCCTGATGCACACTTCCTTCCCTGAAGGTGAGGAGAGCTGTAGCTCTCTGGCCTCCTCAGGGCGACCTCCATCTCCCAACAGAGATGCCTTGCAGCCTGGGCAGGGGCCTTCTCTGCTCCCAGATGAGCCAACTGAGTTGCACAAAGGGAGGCCCTACCTTATGAACAGCCTGCGTGTTGCGTTGGCCCTCCAGAGAAGGCTGCACCCTTCTGCTTCCCTTGCTGGAGCTATCCTAATTTCCAGCCCAGTTTAGAAGAAACTAACTTCCATCAACCCCTCCCAGTGATTGGAGTGATTCTGTTCAAATGAGCTTTGTTTCCAAAAGAGGTCGGTGTCACTGTACTGGTCACCAGTGGTCCATGATGGAGAGGTATGGTAAGAGGAGACCCTTGTATGCAGGAAGGGCGAGATCCTTGGATAAGTGAGTTCTAGTGGGAAAACCACCAGAGGCTAGCGTACCACTCATTTGTGATTTTGAACAACACGTTTTGATATTATGTCCCCAACATTTTTTCAAAAACAACCAAACCCCCAAAACAGAAACAGTACCTTTTTTCTTTCTAATCTCTCCTGCAAATTCTGTAACATAATTCTCTCGTGCTCCTTCTTCCGTTCATCGGCCTCCTCCTGGGCTTTTATTTTGGCGTCCCCCTTCTAGAAAATTTGTATAAAAATACCATTTTGATCTCAATGAGTGATAACCGAGAACATCAGTTGAAAAAGTTAAACAGTAAACTGTTACCTGGCAGAAAAGAATGTAACCTTTTGACTGATAGTGCCTACACACACAACCTTCATGAATTGTCAGTTTTCAAAGCATTAGCTAAAATGCACAAAACGAGGCTATTATTTTGAGAACTTAAAAGCCAAGTCAGTGCCCTCCAGGGCCTCGGGGTTAGCATTACAGTGGTTGCCAGGCCACTATAGCTCCACCAACAGAGCAACAGGAGTTGGAAGTCTTATACCTTCCAAAAGCACTGAGAGGGTCCTTAAAGGTAGCTTCTGGAGGAATTCAAATGCACACAATTACTTATGTAACATATACCTGAGTTTACTAAGGGATACACTAAAAATGGAATATAAAGTAGGCTATGTGAATAATTCAAATTGAGTACAGTCTGAGCTCAGTTGTGGATTTATTTACCTGGTGATTTGAATTTGCAAGGCCGAAACATTCTCACTGGAGAACTGGAGGACTTTATTCTTTTCTGATTTTTTGTTAAAGTTTTATTTTGAGAGAGGGCATACACTTGAGTGGGGGAGGGGCAGAGAGACAGGGAGAGAGAGAATACCAAGCAGGCTCCACGCTGTCAGCATACAGCCGGACAGAAGACTCGATCTCATGAACTGTGAGATCAGGACCTGAGCTGAAATCAAGAGTCAGACACTTTGGGGCACCTGGCTGGCTCAGTCAGTTGAGCGTCCAACTTGGGCTCAGGTCGTGATCTCGCGGTTTGTGGATTCGAGCCTCCCGTCGGGCTCTGTGCTAACACCTAGCTCAGAGCCTGGAGCCTGTTTCGCATTGTGTCTCCCTCTGTCTCTGACCCTCCCCTGCTCACGCTCTCTCTCAGAAATAAATAAAACATTAAAAAGAATTAAAAAAAAGAGTCGGATACAACCCACTGAGCCACCTAGGCGCCCCACGGAGGACTTTAAACTTCTAGAGGTATGTGTAAAGTTTATCGTCTCTATTGGAAGTGCATGTGGAGTGCAGCAGGGAGTGTAGCCACAGAATGCACGGTTAGAAAAACTCACATAAGACACTGAATCTGTGAGCAATTTGATTTCCTGAAACCAAGCTGCAATGTTGTTTACATAGACAAAATAAAAAACTACTAATCTATAATTCGCTGCTTTTGGCTTCTGTTTCACTTAGAAACTATTCTAGGATTTTGCCAAGGGTGGCCAAGAATGAGCCGCAGCAGCCCTGGGTAACAGCTCGACTACAAGGGAAAACTGCAGCCGGCCAGGCCTGCATGTGTTCCTCTCCTTTCTTGGAGAATCTGCCTTGGGTTTCAACTGAAGTTTAGAATCTGTCAACCCCTGATAAAGTGGGGACACAGCAAACCTGTAGCAGCCCTGTCTTGTCTTCTGGATCTGGACATTCTTTCTTTTTGATTTCATTCTCTCTCTCTCCGTCTTCAAGTTTTAAGAACTCTTCTCCTTGGGTTTCCACTTCTTTCTCTGTCATTTCCGTCACTTTCCTGATGACACAATATTTAAACAACTCTTAGTATTTGTCTCGGTCTCTGCCATAGAGAGGTCGCAGTAGCACATGTTTTTCAGTCACCTCTGTGCCCAACATGGGGCTTGAACTCCTGACCCTGAAATTAAGAGTCACATGCTCCACCGACTGAGCCAGCCAGGTGACCCTGTACCTGCATTTTGACAGTGAAACTAGTTGTGTATAGGAACACAACTTACATTTTTACACTAGATTCGCTACATTTTCTGTTGTTACTGCACAAAATTTGCACAATTTCACCCTTTTTAAGTGTGGGGAACTAGCTCTTGGGAGTAGAAAGATTTCTATCAATTAATGGCCTACTCTGCATTTTAAACCGAGAGAAAGAATGACACTTCTTAACTATTTTAGACACATGGGACCCTCCAAAAGGCCTTATTTACACACGTGTAATTTAAAGGAGGGTCTGGAGGTACCCAGGGGAAAGCCCCATCTGCGGTGACAGGCATGAATTTAACATTTAAAATTAAATGTATGTATTTAACATTTAAAATGTTAAACTAGCTTTGTTTACATGAAGCAATGATTGATGTTCTTCCAGTTAACAGTTTTTGCTATTCACAACATCTCCTTCTCCTTTCTTCCAAACTCATTTAAAGTACATTGAAAGCATGTGACTGCATTTCAAATACTTATACTTAAAAACAACTCAGGACTGTAGTTATTCTTTGTAGGCAGTAGACAGAGGTTTCTATTCCAGGGCCCTAGATCAAGTGAGCTTCAAGAGTGAGGGCTGGGGCACTTGGGTGGCTCAGTCAGTTGACCATCTGACTCTTTCTTTTGGCTCAGGTCATGATCCCAGGTCATGGGATCGAGCCCCACATTAGGCTCAGCATGGATTCAGCAAGGATTCTTTCTCTTCCTTCCTCCCTCCCTCTGCTCTTCTCCCCTCTTGCGCTCTAAGACTGAAGGCAAGGAAACCTTGAGATGGAGTCAAAATGAACACAATTGTACATGAGGCTTGCTGCCCACAGGAAAGCCTGCCAGCAATGAGAGAGGAGATTCGGGTTGTCACAAAGGTCACTGGAAAGCACCCCTAGCAAAACATGCAGAAGTACACTTTCCAGGTTTACACATTCCAAAGTTACAAAAGACTTCTGAAACAAAGGGGCAGGCACCAGTGAATGACAACAGGAACTGTCTGGTGTGATCACCCAGGTGTTCCTGCTGAGATACAGGACCCTGACACAAGTTCTGGTCTCCTTAGGCATCTTTACCGAGCAACTTAATGACACATGACACACGGATACTAAGGACAACTATTCTGTCTGTCTACACACCAGTGGCCTCCCTGCTGGAGAGCTTCCCACATTTGTTCCGAAGGCAAGGGGTCACTTCTGATTCATGGTAAAGAAAAAGTCAGTTACTCGTTGATCATTTATAATCCATCTAACCCGACAGTACATTCTGTCTCTCAAAATCTGGGCCCCAGCCATAAAGGATCATATAGAAAAAGAGGGTGTGTGGGGCGCCTGGGTGGCTTAGTCGGTTAAGCGTCCGACTTTCGCTTAGGTCATGATCTCACGGTTCGTGGGTTCGGGCCCCACGTCGGGCTCTGTGCTGACTGCCGGCTCAGAGCCTGGAGCCTGTTTCAGTCTGTGACTCCCTCTCTCTCTGACCCTCCCCTGCTCACGCTGTCTCTCTCTCTCTCTCCTAGAAATAAATAAAAAATATTAAAAAAAAAAAAAAGAAAAAGCGGGTGTGTGCCGACCTTTCCTCTGTTTCCTTTTGTAGTCTTTCTTCTTTTTCTTTTTGTTCACGAGCAAGGCGCCGTTTCTCTGCCAAAATTTTTGTAGCCTCCTCAGCATTTAGTGACCCTGGTGTGCTTTTACTACCAGCATCTAATTGAAATCAACATGTGAAACAGTTAGCTTAGGGAACTTCACACCTCTAGGCCCAATAAAGAGGTGCAAGACAAGCAACATTAAAAACCCAAACAATACGTGCATGGTCCAAACTTTATCAATAACAAGCAATCTATGAGTGATTACAGAACAGATTTCATTCAAAACCCCAATCCCATTCCCAAAAACAGAAGTAGCAATCCGTTTCTTTTTAACATCTACTTATAGGAAAAAGGATTAAGACACATTGAACACAGAGGAAGACAAACTTAGGCTCGGTCTCTATGAGGCATACAAATACTTGACTAAACAAGAACATACCCAGCATACGTTTTGAAATTTATGCTAAATTTTTACTAAATAATTACTGCTTAAATGAACGTTGGGAATAGTATACTATTTGACTGGTCACAAAGTGGCTAACTACATAACCAAAGAAACCAAGACTATCAGTAAAATAAGGTGCCCACACGGGGCCATTACATGCTGAAAGTTTCAGTCCACGTGATAACTATTTTAAATTAATCACAAATTGCCTGGATGGCTCAGTCAGTGAAGCATCTGACTCTTGATTTCAGCTCAGGTCAAGATCTCACGGTTCATGGGTTCGAGCCCCGCATCGGGCTCTGTGCTGACAGCTCAGAGCCTGGAGCCTGCTTCAGATTCTGTGTCTCCCTCTCTCTGCCCCTCCCCTGCTCATGCTGTCTCTATCTCTCTCTCTCAAAAATAAATAAAACATTGAAAAAATTTCAATAAATGACATGAACATGAGGATATTAAGACATCAGGAATGAATAATTTGCAATAAAATTATTATTCCTGTCATAAAGAAATCACTGTGGAATTCCTTCAAAAAGCAAAATTGACTAGTGTACTTAAAATGAAGTAATGTCAAAAAACAGTAGAATCAAATAAAGTAACGTCTACGGACATGTCACAGACAAAATGCCAATATGGGACTTTTAGGAACCCACATACTGCTCAGACATGTCATGGTCTATGTATGGAAATGGACCTTCAGCTCCCAACGGAAATCCACTTAGCCACAAATGGCCAAATGTGCTCTCTCCAAAGACGGACAATACCTTTGGGCCATTCACAGAACGATTCACTATCAGAGCTGGAAGGGACCCCTAGAAATCACCTCGAGCAACGCACTCATCCAATCGGTACTTTTAACATTGGTTCCAAAAATGGACTTTCCGTAACAACAAGGTGGTGGGGGTAAGAAGCTCTGGCAAGGAAAGTGAGCAGTGTGCCAATGACTGGTTAAATTCTCTTCATAGAAAGAAAGCTTACTCCCTAAAGTTCTCAGAATTGGAGAATAAAACAAAGGTGACTGTTCCTGAACTACCTTAAGGTTTTTCCGTGTTGCCAAAATAAACTTCTCAGTGAAGAAACTTACCTTCACAGATTATCTGTTTTTGGCTCACAGCTTCGGAGCTACTAGTGGTTTTAGAAACGGCTTCTCTTTTCTTTCCAAGAGTACCTAATACCTTTTGTGCAAGTAAGTTACGCGGAACAGGAATTCCTTTATGACAGAGAGAAGGCTGTGATTGTTTCGACATGACAGGTGAAGGTGATGGGGGGCGATTCTTCTGCATTTGCCTGCTGGGAAAAAGTAACCATTAATGGGGGAAGTCGGATACAGTTTTGTAGTAGATATGTGCACAAACTAAATGCATTAGTTTCCAATGTGCCATTTCATAAAATATAACGTCTTGATACTAGGAGATACTTTCTAACAGAGGTTAAGTCCATTTTTGAAGATTTTTTCTATTTACATTACGATGCATACTACCATTATTTCCTTTATGAAACACTGATGTGGCATGCATCCTGGTAAAATACCTATCAGGAACAGCTGTAATTAAGCTACTTACTTAACACTGATGGGAGAGGGTGGGCGCCACCCACTTGCAGGAGAAGATGGCCATTTATAACATGGTATGTGTGACGATGGGCGCTTCTTGGTACTAGGGTTGGAGGCCTGTTTGTCCATTTCTGGTTTCTGAACGGAGCAATACAATCAGATTAAGAAATTAGCATTTACCTTTCTGCAGCGGGCTTTCCTTTTTAAGATTAACATACCCTAAATATAATACAATTTTAGCTCCTTAAACTCATTTTTTTCAAGCATGAGAATTAGACACAGAGTATGTTCTTCTGGACTAACAATTCAGATTACAAATTTCAAGAAGTTCACAGAAATAATTTTTAAAAAATCTTTCCCTTCAAAACCTGATTCTACTTCTAAATCCTAATTAAAGGTTTGTAATATTTCTTCTTGAACTTTTCTTCAGTTTAGAAACAGTTCCTATAACAGTTATACATACTCCTTTCTGCAATATTCCAGCTTTGAGGGGAAACTGGTACAATGACTATCAGAATTTTAAATCATTAAAGTGACCTATCCTATCTAATTTTATTGCAAAATACTATCTAAGAACTTATGTTGTGAAACTCAGCCTATCATGACCTACACAACTAAATATAAAGACTTTAACAGAAAATGTGTCAATAAAAGGCACGTAATAAACCTGTGAAGGGTCTCACTTTCACCCTGGACTATGTCTGCACGCTCACCTCCAGGGACGCTTCAGGGGGCGCTCCCGCGCTCTCTTTGGGGAGGGCTTCCACACTAGCCTCGGGGGATGACACAGCACTGGCCTTGGGAGAGGCCTCCCCGCTGGCTTCGGATGACACCTGTATGCTCACATCGGGGGAGGCATCCGCGCTCATGTCGAGAGATGAGTCCATGCTCACCTCGGGGGATGGGTCCACGCTCCCCTCGAGGGACATGTCCACACTCACTTCTGGTGACGTTTCCACACTCTCCGGAAATGCTTCCACACCTGCTTGAAGTGATGCGTCCACGCTCTCTTCAGGTGATCCTTCCATGCTTGCCTGGGGGGTTGCTTCATTCACCTCGGGGGCCACCTCCACGTTCGCCTCAGGGACCACTTCCACATTCACGTTGGAGGCCACTTCCACGCCTGCACTCACCTTGGGGGGCGCTTCCACCTTCACCTTAGGGGGTGCTTCTACATCTGCCTTGGAGGGCACTTCCACCTCTGTCTTACGGGGCGCTTCCACCTCTGCCTTGTGGGGCGCTTCCACCTCTGCCTTGTGGGGCGCTTCCACCTCTGCCTTGGGGGGCGCTTCCACCTCTGCCTTGGGGGGCGCTTCCACCTCTGCCTTGCGGGGCGCTTCCACCTCTGCCTTGGGGGGCGCTTCCACCTCTGCCTTGCGGGGCGCTTCCACCTCTGCCTTGCAGGGCGCTTCCACCTCTGCCTTGGGGGACGCTTCCACCTTCACCTTGGGGGGTGCTTCCACCTTCGCCTTGGGGGGCCCCTCCATTCTCTCCTTGTGGACAGCTTCACCCTCTGCCTTGGGGAGTGCCCCCACATTCTCCTGGGGAGGCACAGCCATTGCTGACTTGCGAAGCACTATGGTATTCTTCAATTCATCACTGCTATGGCTACGCAAGGGCATGTTCACATACTGTAGTACAGGATAACGACTGCCTGTAGGTGAATGAGGACAAAATGAGACTCCATACACTTAGCAACCTGACAAGACAGAAACATGCCATGTTAACAGTATGAGAACAGGAAGAGAGAAAAGAGACCGTGTTTATTAGGAAACTGCAGGGATTACGCCCAACATAGAAGCATTTAGTGAAATGGATCACAGACACAGGACAGAAGCACGACAAAGCTGGTACTTCAGAAGTGCCTCCATAAAGAGGCATTGTGAAAGCAACTGTCTACTACAGATTTCCACACTAAATATTTATTCCTTATATAATAAAGTAAATATCGTTTAAAAATTTTTTAAGTCTTATTTATTTTGAGAGAGAGAGAGTGTGTATGGATAGGGGAAGGGTAGAGAGGGAACGAGAAGAGAACCCCAAGCGTGGCTCCAACTTACGAACTGTGAGATCAAGACCTGAGCTGAACTGAAATCAAGAGTCAGATGCTTTAACCAGGGCCACCCAGGTGCCCCGAAAAGAAAATATTTTTTAAAAAGTATTTGGTGGTAGCTTTCTTAAGACTTGGTAAATCTGTCACTTCCTCTTTAAATTTAGTTGGTAAACTTTAATGATCTCATCAAATAATCAAAATAGAACAAATTACCAAAGACTGACTACTCATGAATAAAGAAATGTGACTAAATTAAATGCTTTTAGTCCCTTGTTTTGGTGGAAAAAGTATTTTATTTGCAGATCTGTATATACCTCAACAGTCACGTTATTTAACACTGACAGTTCTAGATAATACATTAAACGTAATAACTAGATTTTTACTTTTTTTTGGCTTTTTCATGTTTATTCACCTTTGAGACAGAGCGTGAGTGGGGGAGGGGCAGAGAGAGAGGGGGGGGGGAAACACAGAAAGCGAAACAGGCTCCGAACTGTCAGTACAGAACCTGATGTGGGGCTTGAACCCACGAACCACGAGATCATGATCTGAGCCGAAGTCAAATGCTTAACTGACTGAGCCACCCAGGCGCCCAACTAGATTTTTATTAGCTATAGAAATTTAAGATAAGATATTGCATTTTTGATGGAAGTAAAATATTAAACAAAAATAAAAGTAATATAAGAAATATCTTACAGTAGACTGGGGGGAGACTGGCAGAAAATAATCTGACATCATATAATGAGGCATAAACAAAATCAGGAATTGGAACCAAAAGAAGTAAAGGGGCACTACCAGAGAGTCTGTGGCCGCACTCAGATTTATTTTACTAATCATATGAATCTCAACAGAAGAAAAAAAATAAAGGTGCTGGGGTAAATTCTGGAAACAAAGATGTGGAGGGAAGAAGAGAGAAAGAATGATGGAAACAGTGCATTTTACCCCCCCTCCCCCCAGCATGTCTAACACTCTACCTGACCTGCAAGCGAGAAAATCCATAAGCCTAAAGATTGGTCTTACTTTTAAAAAAGTTGGGTGAAGTAGGAAACTTTCTCCCTTGATATTATAAATTTCCAGATACTTTTAACATCCAGTACTTTTTACAGGGCCTGTGACACATTTAAGCACAAGTCAAGAAACCCATAGAGCTTTTAAAAACTTAGGGGTGCCTGGCTGGCTCAGCTGGTAGGTAGAGCATACGACCCTTGATCTCAGGATTATAAGTTCTTGCCCCATATGGTGGGTGTAAAGATTACTTAAAAAAAATCTTGGGGCGCCTGGGTGGCTCAGTCGGTGAAGCATCCGACTTCAGCTCAGGTCATGATCTCACGTTCGTGGGTTCAAGCCCCGCGTCCGGCTCTGTGCTGACAGCTAGCTCAGAGCCTGGAGCCTGTTTCAGATTCTGTACCTCCCTCTCTCTCTGACCCTCCCCTGCTCACGCTGTCTCTTTCTCTCTCAGAAATGAATAAAAACATTTTAAAAAAATTAAAAAAAAATCTTTACGGGGCACCTGGGTGGCTCAGCCAGTTAAGCGTCCGACTTCGGCTCATGTTACAATCTCAGAGCTTGTGAGTTCAAGCTCCCATCGGGCTCTGCACTGACAGCTCAGAGCTGGGAGCCTGCTTCACATTCTGTGTCTCCCTCCCTCACTGCCCCTACCCTGCTCACACTCTGTCTCTCTCTCTCTCAACAATAAACAATAAAAAAATTTTTCTTTAAATCTTTAAAAAAAATCATTTAAAAGTTTAACAACCACCACTACAATTACCTATCTCATCCTATAAATTACCTGTTACCCAGATAACTAATGTTGAGTAAAATCAACATTTGGAAACTCAAATCAAAACTAACTAATGTTGGGTAAAATCAGTCATGTGGAAACTACTGATTCAATTTATTTTTATGCCTTACTGCAACAAATTAAATGATACAACCTGCTCTTTAAGTACAAATACTGATACTTTCTGCCCTATGCCTGTTACCTGGGGTTTCTTTTCCAGGGACCGACAAGGAAACAGCACTTTTGCTCCTGGCCATTGATGCTTTCGTTGGGATGAGCAGGCGACTGATTAAGTTATTCTCTCGAACACTGGTATACTGGTGACGAACTGAATGAGAACAGACATAGTCAGGGTCTCACAAATAAATGCAAAGCAACAAAGAGCAATGTGAACTGCTGCAAATGAGAACTGGCCCAGCCTGAAAGTAGAGACAACGAGAGCAACACATACAGAATGGGACTGAACACTGCTACCAGATGAGACTGCCTTGCTGGGAAAGAGAGCACCTGAATACAGGAGCAAAGGCCCCAGCACACATAATAACCCCACTGAAGACATTTACATAGCATACTTAATAGCATCCTAGCCAATATTCAGAGTCTCTACAGAGGAACTTGCATATGGAAGAAAAACCTGTACATGACAAAATAACTTTGACATGGATCCCTACCGGTATCTGCCACTGACAGTCCTACTCTGGTCAGATTCATTGCCAAAAGCTCCAAGGGAGTGACAGAATTCTTTTGTTAAAAAATGCATCTTCTGGGGCGCCTGGGTGGCTCAGTCAGTTAAGCGTCCAACTTCGGCTCAGGTCATGATCACACGGTTTGTGGGTTTGAGCCCCGTGTCAGGCTCTGTGCTGACGGCTAGCTCAGAGCCTGGAGCCTAATTCGGATTCTGTATCTCCCTCTCTCTCTGACCCTCCCCTGCTCACGCTATGTCTCTCTCTCTCAGGAATAAATAAAACATTTAAAAAAGTAAAAAACAACAAAAAAACGCATCTTCTAAATCTCTTGCTCCAGTGAATTTTTATGCTCATAAATATCCCTGTGACAATGGCATTTGTTATCACAGGATTTGACCCTGATCAACAAACTGGAGAGTATTCTATAAGTGAATGGTTTGGTAGAAATAAAAATCAACAATCGTGTTTGACAGAAAAAAAGGGGTAGAAAGGTATTATAAAGCAACTACTTTAAATAAAGAGGTACTTCAGTAAGAAGTATGAAATTTTTGTACCATAATCAGCAGTGAAAACATGCACATAGGTTGGATGTGAGTAATGCTATGAAGCACCAAAGCAAAGCTTTCCAGTTCAAATTATGGTCAATACTTAGAACTTCTAAACACAAACTCCTGAAATATTTGAAGAGAATCAAGTCCTCCAACACAAATCTCTATCTAAGCCAACTTTCTATGGGGCACCTGGGTGACTCAGTTGGTTGAGCATACGACTTTGGCTCAGGTTATGATCTCACGGTCAGTGAGTTCAAGCCCAGCACTGGGCTCTGTGCTGACAGCTCAGAGACTGAAGCCTGCTTCGGATTCTGTCTCCCTCTCTCTCTGCCCGTAACCTATTCATCATGTTCTGTTCTCTCTGCTCTCAAAAATGAATAAACGTTAAGAAAAATTTAAACCAACACTCTATGATCTAGTCCCTCGGCTTCATTATAGACCTCCTGCTCAATTGATGGCAGAATTACATATTTCATTTAAAGACAGACTCTTGGCTTCAGCCAAATGTTAAAGAAGGGATATTTCGGCTTCCAATTTTAAGAACTACTTCTCAAGGAACCAAATGTTGACATAGATAGATCTCTTTTAAGCCACTATTTAAGACTGGTACTTAGGGGCACCTGGGTGACTCAGCTGGTTAAGCGTCCGACCTCGGCTCAGGTCATGATCTCATGGTTGGTGAGTTCAAGCCTCGCGTTGGGGCTCTGTGCTAACAGCTCAGATCCTGGAGCCTGCTTCAGATTTCGTGTCTTCCTCTCTCTGCCCTTCCCCCTGCTCATGCTCTGTTTCTCATTCTCAGAAATAAATATTTAAAAAAATTAAAAACAAAATAGCTAACCACCTGGTTTCTCTCCAACTTTTTCTGTTTCCATAGGTGACTGCAGTTTGCTAGATCTTCTATTCAAAGATGAACTTCTCTTTTCTGGTTTTTCTGGAGATCAGAGGCAAAGGACAATTATTTTTTTACACATTATTTAACTGTATTATTTCAGGAGTCAATTCCTCTTTTCAAACATTTTTTATCTTCTCTACTCTTGCCTATAAGATTTAAATTTTAAATCTTATGTAGAGATTCTACATCCCCAAACTTAAAACTAATTTACTCTAAGTTATCTGAAATAAAAGTATTTAGGAAAAAAAAACGGTAAAAATTAAGAGGAAAATGTCTAATACTACCTGACAAGATCAACATTCCCAAATTAGAAACATACAACATTTTAAATTGTAGGCACAGCCCATGACATCTGTTACTAAGGTAATGTATACTTTAGTTAGAACGAACATGGCTTTAAACTTTTTAAAAATGATCGTTAACATTTGACATAGATGTCGCAATTTTAGCAACCTAATGAAAAATGTGCTTTGTGTAGACACTTTTCCATTTCACTTGAAATGTTCTGGCTCAGAATACTGAGAAGTGTCTGTTTAAAGAATAACTGCTTGGGTCACCTGGGTGGCTCAGTCAATTAACCATCCGACTCCTGGTTTTGGCTCAGGTCATCATCTCACAGCTCGTGGATTTGGGCCCTGCATCGCTCAGAGCCTAGAGCCGGCTTCATATTCTGTGTCTCCCTCTCTCTCTGCCCCTCCCCTGCTTGTGCTCTGTCTCTCTCTCTCAGAAATAAACATTAAAAAAAAATTTAAGAATAACCTCTCTTTTGGGAACCTGTAAACTAAATTGGGGACCTGTACATATTGACAACGTAGCATCATTTGACAATTCTTCATCTGATAATGTAACTGAACAGCATGAACCAGTATAATTGATTCAATCATGTGATTAAATCACATATCCTTTAGTATCATATGGTAAGAAATGACAAGATAGTGTTAACAGTTATTATGAGTCAGCAAGTAGCAGAAGAAAAAGAGATAATTTGAGTCAGCCAAGCTTTAAAACAGGGCTATTTAAAACATTACAGGTTATTAGATTATGAACTTAATTTAAGTTTGAAATGTTCACCTCTCTGGATCAAACAGGTCAATGTGAAGAGATTTTACAAAGGTAAGCCACCACCAATATGGATTTTATTTTCCCTGGCATTATTAATCACAGTATTATTCATCATGTCAGAGTGTGCAATATACTGTACCTTTAAGTAAGTAATTTCACAAAAGTATCTTCCACACACACCTTCTTGTATTAAAAACTAGCAAAGAAATCATTTAAAAAGTTACTTGGAATTGTTCCTTCAGTGCGATTTAACTAATAATCTTGAAAGTCATCACCTGTTCTTCCTTACAAGTCTCACTGTTACAGCAAGTAGACCTATTATTGAAAGCATACTAGTGTTTGCGCATCATATTAAAAATGTCATGTGTCTGTGGAAGAAATATTTGCTAACTCCTCAAAGCAATTAGATAGTAAAACAGAGTCAATGCTTGTGAAACAATTAAGATATATCAAAATGAAAGTATATGGCACTGCAATGAATGTTATCTAATTTTTCTAAAGGACTGAACTGGGGAGTAATAAATTAATTTTATTATATGACAAGGAAGGTACTAAAGAAAACCTTCCCACATTAATCTACAGATGAACCCAAGCTACACATAAGTGCTCTTGGAAAACCTATCGAGGGTTAGGGTGTTGAGTGCATTAACTTTTGTTAGACCATTATGAGAGAAAATATGATAACCACAGACTGACAAACAAAAGATCTCTCAAGCTCGGGGTTGGATATTATGAGTCCTGAAAGTACAAATAACATAATGTAAGTATGAACAAAACAAAAATCCTTTTCAACATTTTAAAATTGTAATATTTGGATAAAAATGGAAGTTTTTTCCACTAGGTTAACTGCTGCTACAATTAATTATACTTTAATGAGATCCAGAATCTTTTTGCTGCACTGGAATTTTATAGCATTGCTCAAAAATAGGTCAAGGTATCTAATAAAGCAAAGATTTTAAATCCAAACCATAATTATGCCTTTTTTAAATTCATAAGGCACAAAAGTGGGAATATGGAATATGATTGCCATGTCTTTTTCCTGCCAAAGTCACTTCTGTTTCTGTCACTGGAAGGGATTTTTTTTTTTTTTTTGGATTGATGGGTATCGTTGCCTAATCCATTTCAATTATCGGTGAGAAGCACCATGTGCAACAAGCCAGCAATGGTCATTGACACACACTCAGATAAAGGTTTTTTTTTAAAAGGAACACTAATTGAAAGGGCAAACACCAGAAACAAAAGGTATTTGAAGGAGTCATAGTAGATAACTTTGTTTTCTTTTAAAGACCACCACCTTAGCACTGTGAAGAATTTTTAAATGGAGCTCAGAAATGCTTCTCTCATTAAACACGGGTATCACTGTATTTGCTTTGGAGGAAAACACAAGCTTCTTATTGAAATGTACAATTTCAACATCATGATCCATCTACCAAATGGCCAAAATATAAACCACAAACAAGCATGATAGAGTGAAAAGCACTGAATTTCCTGGGGTCTTAACTATAAAACCAGGAAGGAAGGTAATTATACTTGCCTGTCAAGTTTACAAGGTTGTCATGCATTACCAAATATGAAATAAGGGAAGCAGATCAACCTAGACAGGACTATATATGCTAACATTTTCCTTAAATAAGGTGATACTCATGAAACTTAATGGGAACTGAATGACTAGTTTCATTTACTTGTTTGGTAGAATATGAATTATTTCACAACAAATTATTATGACAACTTATCAGCAATGTCTTTTGGTCAAAATATGTTTTAGTTTGGCCTACCTGAGCCCAACAAAGGCATCTGATGATTCACAGGCAAATCATGAAATAAGGATTAATACTGATGAAATCCAAAACAGTAATGACCATTGCTATCTACTGTAAAACAAAGTGGTGCTCTTCTGAAATATACCTAAATGTTCTACAGCCTAAAAGATCAGTGGTACTGTAAAAAAAACACATGATGAATTTATTTCATTGGTTTAAAGTTCAGTGGAGTACATGAAATAACTACTTACTTTTAGCAACAGAATTCTGAAGACCTGCTGATGACACAGGCATTTGTTTATGTAAACCGGAAATCTCTTGTTCGAGTTTTTCAGAAGATACAGAACGTTTATTAGCTGAGAAAAGAGATAATATTTACTGTACTCATATTTAAAGGAAGCTTCATTAGCTAAAAAAAAGTGGGTTCCCAATGGATTTCATGGAGTATAAATGTGCATTAATTAGGTGCACAAGCTCATGGTCTTTCCTAATAAATGATAGAAATTTAAGTTTTACAAAACTGTAACATTATGCCCATTTATAGGAAAATTTACAGTTCCCTCAATAGCAAATGGGGCAGACAACGTATTTTTAAAACATGCATTGGATAAAGTTGTATAAAGCTTTATTATTAATCATTTTTACAGATTACAAATTTAAATGGTAAGATTTAGCATATAAGGGGTAAAATGATAATGAAATTTCTTTTGCAATTTTATATGACACAAATTTAAATATAAGATTATTGTGCACACCAAAGAGTACAGGGCAGTATTTTCATTTAAGATACAAAGTTCAAAACCTTGTTGTAAAGCAACCTTGTAGCAATAGCCAATATCCAAACATGAACCTGAATGAACTTCAAGTTTAACAGTTGTATTAATTACCATTTTTAGTCTCAGGGTTCACGGCTGTAGAGCCTTCCCATGACCATCTTTTTTGACGATGATCAACACGGTTGCTCCGTTCCAGTGTACGGTAGACAACAGCTTTGAATCTCTCCTATTAAACACCAACAGAGTTTTACGTATTATAAAACCATCCCATCACCAAATTTTTGTATCAAGCAAAGCTTTCAGGGACATCAGTTTGAAGTTAAAAATAATTAGAGAGGCACATGGGTGGCTTAGTCGGTTAAGCATCTGACTGTTGATTTGGGCTCAGGTCATGATCTCACAGTTCCTGGGATCTGGAGCCCCACATTGGGTTCTGCGCTGGCAAAGCAGAGCCTGCTTAGGATTCTCTGTGTCCTTCTCTCTGCCCCCTCCCAACTCATGCACACACACACTCTCTCTCAAAATAAATAAACTTAATTTCAAAAAAAATTTTAATGTTTATTTTTGAGAGACAGAGAGATACAAAGTGTGAGTGGGGGAGGGTCAGAGAGAGAGGGAGACACAGAATCCTAAATGGGCTCCAGGCTCCTGAGCTGTCAGCACAGAGCCCAAGGCGGAGCTCAAACCCACCAATAGCGAAATCATACCTGAGCTGAAGTCAGAGGAAATGACTGAGCCACCCAGGTGCCCCTCAATTTTTTTTAATTAAAAATAATATGTACCTTAAATTCTTTGTAGAATGAGACAGAAAAAAAAATCAACATACATAAGTGAAATCATCTCTAATACCCACATTTGTAAGATCTTAAATTCTAGTGTTAATCAATAGTTTTTTTTAAGTTTATTTATTTTGAGAGAGAGAGCAGGGAAGGGACAGAGAGAGGGGGAGGGAGAGAGAGAATCCCAAGCAGGCTCCTCACAGTCAGCATGGAGCCTGATGTAGGGACTGAACTCAGTGTCAGATGTTTAAGTGACTGAGTCATCCAGGCGTCCCTCAATAAAGGTAAAAAAAAAAGATACTCAAGGTGTTTGTTTTGACCTCAACTTTAAAGTTTTCTTTATTTGAGTAATCTCTACACCCAATGTGGAGCTCCAGCTCATGAGATCAAGAGTCTCATGCTGTTATGACTGAGCCAGCCAGATGCCCCTTGACTTCAACTTTAATTGAGCTGCTCAGGATAAGAGCTATTCAAATATAAACACCACACTGGGGCAAAAGCAACTCAGTGCCATGCATGGTTTTCCTTTCTCAGATCATTCTGGGCTATAACAAACCATGGACTATAGGCAGGTAAGTAAATCAACCGCAGGGCCAGGAGACTTTCTATTATTCCCTGACAACAACGGTTTCACCGCAACATCATTCTTACAATGTCTCCACCATTTCTCTGAGGGAAAAGACAGACATCACTAGGAAAATGATGGGTCGCCCATAACCCTTAAGGTGAAAAGCAACTGCAATTCTTAAAATGAAATGCATCTAATGGCAATATTTTAAAATGATATTTTCTAACAGAAAGTAAGTTGTCTCAAATTACTAGAAAATTACTGATACTTAAGAATTCTATCCCCTGCTTCCAAACACTAGGCCTCTGTGCTTTCAGGTTCCAGTCGTATCTGTGGCTCCTACCTAAGCTCCTGTCCCAGCCTATATGTCTGTCCATACTCCCCTGCCCCTCCTCGGCACCATGGGGTCTGGGTTTTCTCCCTACTCTAAGGAATTACTCTCTTTTTCTACCTACAGGCTGCGCACAGCATCCAAGGGTTCCTTCTTGCTCTCTTCAGGGGAACCGCCCCCCCCCCCGCACTAGATTTGTGAGGTTGATTTTCTTTTTTTATTTATTTATTTATTTATTTATTTATTTATTTATTTATTTCTAGGAGAGAAAGAGACAGCGTGAGCAGGGGAAGGTCAGAGAGAGAGGGAGTCACAGACTCTGAAACAGGCTCCAGGCTCTGAGCTAGCTGTCAGCACAGAGCCCGACGCGGGGCTCGAACCCACGAACCGCGAGATCATGACCTGAGCGAAAGTCGGACGCTTAACCGACTAAGCCACCCGGGCGCCCCATGAGGTTGATTTTCTTTTGTTCCTTTCCTCCTGCCACAGCTCTGGCTCCCCCCTCCCCCCCACCGTGCCATTATGTTACCTTCTCTTTTCTCTGGGATCTCTGTGAGGTTCCTCTTTCTCTAAGATAATCTTTCTTTTTCTCTTAGTCCCTGGGAGTCTCTCTCCTCCAGGGACCCTCCCCCACTCTGCAGTTTTCTATTCTACCTTCTTTCAGTCTCTTAGTTCAGATCTATCCCTGGCCTTCCTTTTCTTTACCACAGAAGTAAATTAAGGAGCTCTTTCAGAGAGGGAGATGGAGAGTGATAGAAATTCTGTAGGAGAGTTCATCAATACTGGAAGATGAAAAAAATGCATAAACCACCACAGAAAACAGTTCATAAGACAGAGAGAGAAGTGGGAGTGGACCATGGGGAGTGGGGGTGGGGGAGAAATGGCAGGAGAACAGTCCTAGAATAAGGAAGATCCACAGACAGGGCGGGGCTGAGGTGTGCGAGAGCAACCGTGTGCATAAGGAGGAAAAGTGAGCACCACAGAGAAGAAGCCTCATGGGGACAAACAGAACCAAAAAGAAAGGACAGAAAAAGAAGACTTTAAATTAGAGCAACAGAAGAAAAGAGGGAGAGATAAAAACACACATTGAGAGAAGAGGCAGAAAGCCCAAAGACAGGGAGAGAAAAAGACAGAAAAGCTAAGACAAAGAAAGAGGAAAGAAAAGTGAGGCCCCTCAGGCAGAAAAAGGTCAGAGTGAGATGGAGAACCAGAACAACTAAGATTTAGGGACTCTTGAGAATCACTGGAATAAAGCAAAAGAGAGAATGAGAGCACAAAAAAGGATGGTTTCCCAGGGACCATGCCAGATTCACAAGAAGTCAAGGTTCCTCAGAGTAAAGTAGTGGAGGGACCTACAGGAGAAGAATCTGATATCCAAGAGAGTCAGACAGAACAAGACAGGTAGCCAGATGCCCAAGTATGGACAATAAAAGACAAACTGACTGAAGTGGGACAGAAAGCGGGACAGAAGGGGAAAGGGAGGGCATCACTAAGGCAGTGACTCATACCAACAGAGCGCCAGACACCGAGTCCAGAAAGGGAGAGAGCGCTGCAGGACCACAGAACGGCAGGGAGAAAGACAGGGACTGCGGGGACAGGTGGGGGGCGGGGCACGCAGGAGAAAGGACAGGGGAAGCCAGATGGGACGTGCTCTCCTCTGACTGGCCTGCAGTCAACAAGTTAGAGGAGCTGCTGTGAGAAGGAAGAGGGGGAGCCTATTAGGGGAGACTCCGGAGGGCCAGCGGAAGGGCCAGTCCGGGAGGGTGGAAGGGCGCTCTTCCCGGGCCTGCGAGGCTCCTCTTTACCCCCAGCTAGTGGTTCTAAACTCAGGGATCTGGTAGGACAGGGAGCAGAGGTACCACTGGAGGGAAGCTGTGAGAACTGGGGCTTGTTCCTTTGGCAGGGGAGGGGCAGTAAAGGCAGAAGGGCTGAAGAGAAAGGGTCCCAGTGCTGGGCAACACGGTGTATGAGCTGGTTAACAGGCTAGAAAAATACGTACCCTTTCTTCGTGTAATTTTTGTTTCCTTTTCTCTTCTGCGGATATTCTCCGCTGTTCATCCTTTTCTTTCTGTTCTTTCAGCTTTCGATGTTTTTCTTCCATCTGTTTTTCATACTGGATCCTGGACTTTCTTTCTTTTTCAAGCAGTTGCGTTTCTTTGTTGGCTGAAATAGTCCAAATACATTTTCAAGGTATAAGAGCCAAGCAAATATTTAAGTTTTCCATATTATGCACAAGAAGGAAAAAGTTAATGTACCTCTGTCTCTTTCTTAAAAATAACAAAGCCTATGCTAATGACAAAAGACTACGTAAGTGTAAGAAAACACTAAAGAAGTATTTGCACTGGGTGTTCATTTAACTCCAGAGAACTGAGGTGGCTTAGATGACCCCTCATGTCCTGTCCAAACTAAGACTCCAAGTTAAAAACAAGTATTTTCTTTCACGTGCTATTTCTGCTGATCTGAGCTGAATTTAAACCCCACCACATTAACGTGCTATATACATTAAGGTAAGAAATAAAAAGAAGGCATATAGCCAGAGGTTATGTGTTTTTTCCATTCTATCAGGAAACTGTTCTCAAGGGCCTCATCCATGCAGACCACACCTAGCATGCCAGTCTTACATGCATGGATGTAGTCGGTACCATGTTATGAACAGCATGATGTATTCCTACTTCAAATTTCCAGTCACTAAAGCTTGCAGAGCATCTATGCGGTTCTTTTTTTTTTTTAAGGTTATTTTTTTTTAATGTTTTATTTATTTCTGAGAGAGGGAGAGAGGGAGAGACAGCGTGACCAGGGGAAGGTCAGAGAGAGAGGGAGACCCAGAATCTGAAGACAGGCTCCAAGCTCTGAGCTAGCTGTCAGTACAGAGCCAATGTGGGGCTCAAACCCCCACGAACCATGAGACCATGATCTGAGTCCAAGTCAGACGCTTAAGCCACTGAGCCACCCAGGCACCCTCCATCTATGCAGTTCTAAAATACTCTTCTGAAGAGCTACAGGAAGAAACTGCTCCTCATTAAAACAAAGACAAATGATATCCATTTGAATGAAGCTGAGCACAAGTTTTGTCAGGGGATTTCAAAGACCAGAGAAAAATGCAGTTGAAAAGCAATCCCTTAAATTTTAGAAAGATATTCTTTTAGATTCTAATGTACACTTAGGAAGACTATGTTAGGATTATTAGCAACTTCATTTTCCTTTTCAGAGTCATTTTATTGAAATCCCATTCCTCTGGTTTCTACAAATGTTGAAGTTTTCATACCTTAGTTTTCAGAAAATTGGAGCTAACAGAAATTACTACACTTCCAAAATTAAACAATGGAATCAACTATTCCTCTTGGGCCTTCTTTATCTGACTTAGTGTAATCATTGAATCCAATATAGTACATCCTAGGAAAATTATAATCTATAATATATACAGATTAGGAAAAGTAAGCAAATCCACTCTGGAAATATATAACCTTAACAGAAAATTCACTCATTCTAATTATTTTTTTTTAATTCTAAAATATACCATCTTGTTGTTTTTTCTTTTCTTCTCGACGCTCCTTCACCAATCTCTGTTTTGCGTCACTTTTAAGAATGGAACCATCTATGACTAAAAACAAAAAAAAGAGAGAGAGAGAGAAAAGCAGACATTAAAAGGATATCAAATTTTAATGACATGACACTTTGACATCAAAAAGCATTCTAGAAATTATACCTGGCTTAACTGATGACTTTATACTTGAGGATTGAGACAGAGAACTAAAACCACTTTGATTCCGTCTTTCTTCAGCCATGGCATGAGCAGCAGCAACTAGAATACAGGGAGATAAGAGGAAGGGATTAGATAATAAGAATACAGTTTAATACAGAGAGAAGCAACACAGGCAGGCATCTTTGATGATAAAGGACGGCATCTCATCTATAGGGCAAAATCATGACAGATTAATTCAGGTCAACAATACAGACACACTGAGAACCTGTGATGTTCAGCAACAGTTTAAGAATTAAAGTTTTTGCTGTGGATGTGCTGGCATACCCGTGGACAGAGAGTTGTTAGGGGGAGTTGCAGGGCAGCAGGAGCTTATAGATGAGTAGGAACTAAGGATTAATAGCTTTCAAAAACGCGTCAGACAAGACATTACACCAAGGACTAGAAAAAGTGAGCTGGCAAGGAATTGGAAAAACTGTTTTGTCATAAATTGGGAATTTAGAAAAGAGTTGGCGTTTATGGATTTGAATTTGGAAGCAGAGGTGTCAACAGTGAGATCTTCAAAGACTGGACCCAATATTAAGTACCCTTATAAATTACCTATATGTGAGCTTTTCTACTGTGGCTGCACACTAGGGTTACCTAAGTTGCTTTAAAAATACATTAGCAATCGGGGCACCTGGGTGGCTCAGTCAGTTAAGTGTCTGACTTCAGCTCAGGTCATCTCAGGGTTCCTGGGTTTGAGCCCCTTGTCGTGCTCTGTGCTGATGATGCAGAGCCTGGAGCCTGCTAAGGATTCTGTGTCTCCCTCTCTCTCTCTCTGCCCCTCCCCCATTCTCACTCTGTCTCTCTCAAAAAGTAAATAAACATTAAAAAACTGTAAAACAAAATACATTAGCAATGTATTAGCAATGCCTGCTTCTCCCTACCCCCAGTCTCTGGGGTGGGGGCCCAGGCATTATCAGTTGCAAAGAGCACTATTCTAATGCACAGTGAAGGTGGAGAAGCACCCCAGGAATTTCCATTGAGATAGTATTATTCTAAGTATTATTCTAGGTAGAAAAATGTCAGCAAAGATAAATTTACACATGCGTTATAAAACTGGTCCAAAAGCGGCAAAGAAACTTCAATAATGGTGAAATACAAGATTAGGGGAGCACAATTTGAGGAGAGTAAGAAAAACTAAAATTCCACACACCAATTGTTCCATTTTTTCCTGATATATAGAAAACAATGCAGTATCACAGGGGCATAGTTCCTATGGACAGTAATCCTAGGACAGTTAAAATGATTAAAGGAATGGAGTGGCTGCATTGCCCCTCACAGAAAGAAAGGACTCGGAGATGTTCCTTGCCACTGAGGAAAGCTATCCAGGAATCATTTTACAAGTAACGTTGAAAGTGATGCCACAATTGCTGTCATAGGGCTCACTATTTCAAAAGGGAAAAAGGATTTTTTTTTTTTAACCCAGAGACTTAACCGCTCAGATAATCCATGATTTAGGTAAATTTGAAGATTAGACTCTTCTCAGCTTCCTTCCTTCGTAGTTCAACAGCTAGCAATTTTATGGATCAGAAGTTATCCTCTGAATTAAGTACTATAGTGCATTAAGAAAAATTCTTAAGTATAGTCTATAAATTAATTAAACTCTCCTATACACTCTGTCCTACTTGTAACATTTCTATGTGAGCAGAGAAAAAACAACAGTTGGTTTCACACATTCAGCTTTCCTGCTTAGAAGTACCAAAGAAACTCCATATTTTGGCACAATTTAGCTAACCATAAGGACAATTTCACTCAAAGTATACAATTTTACCAGATATAAAGACCTCATTAAACAGTAGTAACCTCCAAATTCGCTGTGGTGGGAATAATAAACTGAACCATAAAGGTCAATGTGGAAATAATATCAAGTCTGATTTTTAGAACTTTATATACAAATTCTTACTGGCAAGAAATACATTTACCAAAAGGACAAGCCATAGAAATCATTTAAAATGTTCAGCCAATGGGAGAAAGGCTTTATGTCTGAGCTTAACAGAGTATTTTCCTCAATTCCATTGAATGAGTAAATTCATCCACCATTCATTTTAAGGTTATAGCAAGGTTCAGTTTAAGACCTATACTAATTCTGAATCCCAAATAGAAGTTAAAAGTTACCTTTTGCCTGGAGATTAAGAAGATGTGTAGAGCTTATTAAAACTGAAATATGAACCTTAATCTATATTTATGGTACTTAAGTAAAAATTGCTATAAAAGGTATATTACCTCACCACTTACGAAATTCTTTTCATTTGTATGACCTCATTAAATTCTAATGATCCTATAAAGTGAATATATATATTTTACATATAAGAAAAACTGAAGCTAAACAAACATTACTTTCCCATATCACATAAGTAGTAACTGGTGAAGCCAGAACTTGATTCAATTGTAGATTAAAAAGTAACTTTACTTTGAAATATTACATAATTATCAAGGGCCACACTGTATAAAACTCACATTAACCTGTTTATACAACTTAGTTCATTATTCCCACCTCCACTACTTCCAAGATTATTTTTGTTTAAAATATCACGAAGAAGGACTTAAGATCCAAATGTTGACTCAACAAAAAGTAAATAGAGGCACCTGGATGGCTCAGTCAGTTAAGTGTCTGAGTTTGGCTCAGGTCATGATCTCAAGGTCAGTGGGTTCGAGCCCTGAGTCTGACTCTGTGCTGACAGCTCAGAGCCCGGAACCTGCTTTGGATTCTGTGTCTCCCTCTGTCTCTGCTCCTCCCCCACTCATGCTATGTTTCTCTCTGTCTCTCAAAAATAAAATAAACGTTTAAAAAATTTAATACAAAACAAAGAAGTAAATGAAATATACGGGTTTGGTTTAAAGTATACTTTGAAAATACAGCAATGGAGCGAAATAAGTCAGGCAGAGAAGGACAAATATCATATGTTTGCACTTATAGGAGGATTAGGAGGAACTTAACTGAGGAACAAGGGGGAGAAGAAGGGGTGAAATGGTGGGGGAAAGGGAGAGAGGCAAACCATGAGAGACTCTTGAATGCTGACAAAAACTGAGGACTGATGGATGTGGGGGGGGGGGGGGATGGGCATGGAGGAGGGCACTTGTGGGGATGAGCACTGGGTGTTATGTGGAAACTAATTTGACAATAAACTATTTGTAAAAAAAAAAGAAAAGAAAAGAAAAGAAAAGAAAAAAAGAAAAGAAAAGAAAAGAAAAGAAAAGAAAATACAGCAATGGTGGGGCACCTGGGTGGCTCAGTGGGTTAAAGTGTCCAACTCCAGCTCAGGTCATCATCTCACAGCTCTTGGGTTTGACCGCCACATCAGGCTTTGTTCTGACAGCTCAGAGCCTGGAGCCTGCTTCAAATTCTGTGTCTCCCTCTCTCTATGCCCCTTCCCTGCTCAGGCTCTGTCTCTGTCTCTCAAAAAAAGAATAAATGTTAAAAAAATTTTCAGGAAATAAAGCAATGACGGGGCACTTGAGTGGCTCAAGTTGATTAAGCATCTGACTCTTGGTTTAGGCTCAGGTCATGATCTTACAGTTCATGAGTCCAAGTCCTCCATCAGAGCCTGGTTGGGATTGTCTCTGTATCCCTATCTCTCTGCTGGTTCCCTGCTCACTCTATCAAAATAAATAAACTTAAAAAGAAAAGCAATGGAAATATTTTAAAATAAAGCACTTACCATTCTTCTAAAAGAAAGTACTATTCTGCTGTGCTAAGAAAGGCCTGAATTTAGGAAAAAAAATACTTGTGAAAGACATTAGAAGAAAACCATTCTTGGGGTGCCTGGGTGGCTCAGTCGGTTAAGCATTCCACTTCAGCTCAGCTCACAATCTCAGGGTTCATGAGTTTGAGTCCCACCTCAGGGCTCTCTGCTATCAGCTTGGTGCCCTCTTTGGATCCTCTGTCTCCCTCTCTCTCTGCCTCTCTCAAAAATAAATATTTTTTAAAAGTTGAAAAAAAAAAAGGGAAAACCATTTTCCTCCTGAGGGGAAACTTACAAACTCAATCATCCTGGCTATCTAGCCCCGTAAAAGTCTCAGAATGAAATGAAACAAAAACAGCCACCACGAAGGATATCACAGTTAAAGAATGCTTTAGATTTAATCGATTTTTTAAAGATGTCATTGAAATTTTGAGGCCTCTTTTGGATGTAAAGCTAAGTTTTAGCTCATTACCAACTTCAATATAGTGGAAGGTTCCTGCTTCTCTCTGCCAGCGCGCCAACACACACACAGGATCTGTGTCACTAGGGCAAACTAAACGCAAGAAAGGAAGAACACTTTTCTATGACAACTAGTTCAAGAATGGTAATAATCTTCCTAAGACTGCCACTCCAAAATGCTTAATCCCATGAGACGCCAGTGATAAAATACTCATCCCAATACTTATTCAGCAATTCTATGTTGTCTGCCACAGCTGTTGCTCTTGATTATCACTCTCAGAATTCAACATAAAATCTGTAGACTCTGCCACCATGATCTTTCTTCCCCCAAATCCTTTCTTCTGTACTTATTAGAAATATTCAATCACATAAATTAGTATTTTTATTAGGTAGCAAAAGGGGTAGACTGTAAAAAAATTATTGAAAGGGGTTTATTTTGGATAAAAAAGGCTGTGAGTGTGGCAGAGAACCACCATACTGTGAAACTAATTGTTACAGATTAACAGATTTAGTGCTACTCATTGTTATTTGGAAAACAGAAGAAAAAAAAAAGAAGTAATTGCCACAAAGTCCTATCATGGCTCCTGCCTTATGTAGTGCACTATGGGGTCTGGCAGTAGACAGTTCCAGCAGCTCAATACCTGGCCCTTCCCACTGAGCTGTCAGCACAGAGCCTGACGTGGGAACTTCCCAACCCTGAGATCATGACCTGAGCTGAAGTCTGACGCTTAATGACTGAGGTACTCAGGTGCCCCCACACATAAATTTGAAAACAATTATGTATAAAAATATAAAACATGCATTTTGTTGAAATAAGTGTATTTCTTCAGTATGCTACAATCTTTGCACAGCACTCTGCACAGAAAACATAATTCGATAAATGTACATGATACATGGAGGTGGACAGATTACTCT